AAGTAGAACTTAAACCGATGATACCTTCGGCTTAGTTTCACTATTACTTAAGTACAACTTAAACTATTTGGATTGTGGTCAGAAAATGAAATGTGCAACTTAGGTGATACTCAAAGTTAAGGTTCACCTAAGAGGAAGTGGTGCAAACGGCCCATAGTACCTGAGATAGACGACTTTAAGAAAATGTCTACCGGCGACTAAAAATGTAGAAAAAAATTGAATAACGCCAAATCCGCTATAACTAGAATAGGCAAATGGGGTATCGTTGTTTACAGAATTTCATGCTGAATCTAAAATTAAAAAAAAATATGGGGTATTCCCTTTAAAATAACGAAGTTAGTGGTCACTTCCGGTATAACCGAAAGTTGCACAGAGTTCATTTTATTTTAATTCAAAAGAGCATATTCGATTATGTATACTCAGAAAATGGCGAAAATACAAATTAATTTATTCTCCATAAAGTTGTAATGCCCGCCTTACGTGGGACACGGTGTATAAATCGATGGTCCTGACCTCAGTTTTATGATAGACGTTTATGTTATTAGTTGTATAAGTTGAGTTGAAATAAATTGAGATAACAAAAACCTGCATAACACTTCAAATAATACAACACAAATATGACATTATCTTAGATAACACAATCTAGAGATAATAAATATCCATGGATAAAATGTATTAGGTATCTTGGGTTTAAAATTTAATCTTCTTTTATGCAGTCCACTGTAAGAAAACGAGTAGAAAAATTAAATGGTTAGAAAATGCAGAATTCTCATCCACCATTTGTCTGCTAAAGTTTAACGAAATAATAACGCTCTTCATAAAGTAGTTCAATATATTTATTTATTCATCCTTAAAAGTTTTTTTATATAGAACAGCTCGTATGTAATAGTATTATGTTTAGAGGCCTAATAATAATAAATTAATAATTGCAAATATAAAAAAGGTAGGTAATAAATAACAAACTTAAATATAAAATTAGTATACAAAACTTTTGCCAAAGCAGACATTTCGACACTATAATAAAAACAATACGAATCCCCATCCTATCAGACTTAGTCTTTTTATCAGCGTTTTTTATGTGTATTTTCAAAATGACTGCTCCGGCTAAAAAACACTATCAAGGCATTCATTTACTTTTCTAACAAATTAAAAAGCTTGATGCCGCCACATTTGAGATATTCTTTTTTTTTATATATTATATTTAGTGAGCATTTTTTTTTTTAAATAAAAAAATATTTTCACAAAAAAAAAGGTAATTAAAAATAATTTTGGTAATAAAAATTTTGGTGTTTTTTTTTTGGTGCGTTGAATTTTTTTGCTTTTACATTTATATACACAATATACAGAGTGTCCCAAATCAAAATGTTATTGTTTAAGAAATAAGTACGTATTTTTCAACTTTTCGGGTCATGAAATTCCAAAAATCGATCATTTTAAATTAGTAATTTAACATATCAGTCTATGATATTGTCAAGGCTTTTGGTTCACAATATTTCAAAAATCGATCATTTAAAACTAGTAGTTTAAACGTACCAGACATGAAATGTCTAATAATCAATGTTCTAGATATTTTCAAACATTTTAGCTCACGAAATTCTAAAAATCGATCATTTTAAACTAGTAGTTTAAATGTACCCGATACAAAATGTCCAATAATCATCATACTAAATTATTTTCCAAGCATATTGGCTCAAAAAATACAAAAATCAATCATTTTAAACTAGTAGTTCAAACGTATCAAATCGAAATGGCTAATAATCGGCCATCTATAGTATTTTCAGAATTTTTTTGGCTAAATAAATCCTAAAAATAGATCATTGTAAAATAGTAGTTCAAACGTACCAGACATGAAATGTTTATCGGTGTTCTATGGTATTTTGAAACTTTTGGCTAATGAATTTCTAAAAATCGATCATTTTAAACTTGTAGTTCAAACGTACCAGACATGAAATGTCTAATAATCAACATTCTAGGTATTTTCAAACATTTTAGCTCACGAAAATCTAAAAATCGATCATTCTAAACTAGTAGTTTAAATGTACCCGATACAAAATGTCCAATAATCATCGTCCTATATTATTTTCAGGCTTATTGGCTCAAAAAAATCCAAAAATCAATCATTTTAAACTAGTAGTTCAAACATACCAAATTGAAATGGCTAATAATCGGCCGTCTATGGTATTTTCAGGATTTTTTTTGGCTAAATAAATCCTAAAAATAGATCATTGTAAAATAGTAGTTCAAACGTACCAGACATGAAATGTTTATCGGTGTTCTATGGTATTTTGAAACTTTTGGCTAATGAATTTCTAAAAATCGATCATTTTAAACTTGTAGTTCAAACGTACCAGACATTAAATGTCTAATAATCAACATTCTAGGTATTTTCAAACATTTTAGCTCACGAAATTCTAAAAATCGATCATTCTAAACTAGTAGTTTAAATTTACCTGATACGAAATGTCCAATAATCATCGTCCTATATTATTTTCAGGCTTATTGGCTCAAAAAATTCTAAAAATCGATCATTTTAAACTAGTAGTTCAAACATACCAAATTGAAATGGCTAATAATCGGCCGTCTATGGTATTTTTAGGATTTTTTTGGCTAAATAAATCCTAAAAATAGATCATTTTAAAATAGTAGTTCAAACGTACCAGATACTAAATGTTTATCAGTGTTTCATGGTATTTTGAAGCTTTTGGCAAATAAATTTCTAAAAATCGATCATTTTAAATTTAAACTATTTTCAGCTCTCAAAATTACAAAAATTGATCATTTTTGACTAGTAGTTAAAACGTATTGGACAATTGGACACATGGTGTTTTCAGCCTTTTCGGCTTACGAAATTCTATAAATCGATAATTTTAAACTAGTAGTTCAAACATACCAGACATGAAATATCTAATAATCAGAATTCTACGGTATTTTCAAGTGTTTTGGCTCACAAAATTCTATAAATCGATTAATATAAACTAGTAGTCCAAAGTACCAGACACGAAATGTCTAATAGTCAACGTTCTATGCAATTTTCAGACCTTTGGCCAACGAATTTCTAAAAAAATCGATAATTTTAAACTATTTTTAGCTCTCAAAATTCCAAATATCGATAATTTTAAACTAGTAGTTCAAACGTACCAGATAGAAAATGTTTAATAATTCATTCTTATGAAATGCTAAACATGTCATTTTAAACTAGTAGTTCAAACGTACCAGAAATAAAATTTCTAATAATCAGCGTTCTACGCTATTTTCAGGCGTTTTGACTCACATTATTCTAAAAATCGGTCAATATAAACCAGTAGTTCAAACATACCAGACACGAAATGTTTAAATAATTAGCATTCTAAGGTATTTTTAGATATTCTGGCTCCCGAAATTGTAAAAATCGATCATTTTAAACTAGTAGTTCAAATGTTCCAGAAAATAAATAGCTAATAATCGGAATTTTACTATATTTTCAGGCTTTCTGGACCACGAAATTCTAAAAATCGATAATTATAAACTACCAGTTCAAATATACCAGACTCGCAATGTCTAATAATCAGCATTCTATTATATGTTGTCTTTTTGGAAAATGAAATAAGTCGTAGATCAAATGTACCAAACAAATTAGAATACTATACAAAATGTTTTTTTTTGGTAATTTTGAAATATTCGTCACACTGTCACACAATATGAACAAGTATTTTTTTTCTAAATCCCAAATTGGGACAACCTATATGTAATAACTATTTTTGTTTATTTGTCGTTAAAAAATTTGGACGACCTGTTGATAATATTGATAAGATAATTAGAAAAAATCTGTCAAATTTGGGACATCCTGTAAGAAAGTAAAAAAAAAATGCTCACAAAAGTGTATAATTTTCTTTTTTGAAAATATCACGGATTAAATCACATAAAAGCGGGAAAACATTTAATGAATACGCTTAACCTGCTTTTCATATCCATTTAAAAAAAAAAATTATTTAAATAAAATTCTCTTTAAAATCTACTACATGCAACTAAAATTATTCTTAAAGGAGACGTTTGATCGGTACCGCCATTTTTCCAAAATTCTGAGCAGAAATGTATATAAAAAAATTAATAAATATTAAAATAATTAAGAATGTCTTTTTTTATTGTGCTTAGTGTTAATAACATAAAGCTCGAAGTATTAAAGCTTAAAATTGCTACCGCGTATCATAATAAGGCATTCAGTGATTTTTCTCTTTTTCATTTCAAAAATATTTTACGCCTTAACTTCGAAAAGTGAAATTTTATACCTTAAAATCTACAGTTTCCACTTACTTTTAATAAAGCGAAACAAAGAAGAAAATTGAAAAGTAATAAAATAATTTGGTAAAAAAGAAATAAAGAATTTATATGTACAGTAAAACGTTAGAACCGCCATTTTGGCAGATCAAACTAATAAAACAATTCCCGACTGAGAACGGTAAATTCAAATGACAGATATGAACATTAGACATCAACTGTTAAAAGATCTTATTGAGAATTGACAATTGTCGTTATTAGTTCAAATGTACCTAACTCAAAAATGTTCATTAACGAAAAATTAGATAAAATGAAGCCTTTTGTTGGTTCTAGAATTGCAAAAATTTAATTGCAAAATAGTAGTTCAAATGTACCAAACTCAAAAATGTTCATTAAAGAAAAATGTATGATATAATTAAGCATTTTCGCTCTAGAACTGCAAAAATTAGTAAATCAAATAAAACCAAACTCAAAAATATTCATTAACGAAGAATGTAATAATGAAGCATTTTCGCCCCAGATATGATAGTAGACCAAATGTATCAAACTCAGAAATGTTATTGAATGATTTTTTTGGGGGTTTTAAAATTTTTTTGCAAACATTAAACTGCAAGACAGTAGTACAAATATTAAAATATTTTAGGTCATACAACTGAAACAATCGATTAATTAAAAATAGTTTAAATGTACCAAATACAAAAATGTTCATGAATTAATTTTTCAAGATTCTAAAATATTTTGAATTATAAAACTGCAAAAATAGACGAATTATAAGACATTAGTTCAAACTTAAATATTGAATTGCAAGATAGTAGTTCAAGTATACCAAACTCAAAAATGTTGATGAATTAATTTCTCAGGATTCTAAAATATTTTGGGTCATAAAACTGTAATAATTGATGAATTATAAGATGGTGTATCAAACTTAAAAACGTTCGTAAATGATTATTTTTTAAATTCTAAAATATTTTGACTCATAAAAATGCAAAAACGACGAATTATAAAGGTAAGAGTTTAATTATACTAAACTCAAAAATGTTCATGGATGAACTATTTGAGATTCTAACTTGAGAAATCGACTATAAGGTAGTAGTTCAAATGTACAAAATTTTCATGAATTAATTTTTAAAGGTTCTAAAATAATTCGAGTCATAAAACTGCAAAAAACGACAAGTTATAAGGTAGTAGTTCAAATGTACCAAACGTTTATTACTAATTTTTGGTAATTTTAAAGAAGTTTGGTACAAAAAGGCAAAAATCAACTAATTACAAGTTAGTAGTTCTAATGTACCAAGCTTAAAAATAACGAAAAAGTTTCGAGTGCTTAATAAAAAGGTCACATTTTGACTGTCATAATAGATGTGAACAAATTTTATTCTTTGACATATTAATTTTTCAAAGCTGTCAAAAGTGACTTAAATCAATCTTTGCACTAAAACATTGGATGTATAATGTATGGTACAATATTATGACGTTGGCATCTGTCAAAGCTGCCACTTGTCATCAAAATTTAACGAATCTCAGTCGGTAAACGGATCCATCGTTTCTAAATCTTAATACTTCCTAAAAAGCAAACTTACGTATATATTTATTACATTTCTAAGTCTCATTACAAAACTTTCAACTCAAAATTTCACCGAAAAAAACGCCCAAACGACACCCCAAAAAGACTCGTGTATCTCGAACGTGGCGGAATTAATGGTTTAAACTCTCTCTTCTTCATTATAATATTATTTTTTTGTTTACTTTCGTTTAGTCGTTTTACGGCTGAGTTGTTCCTCGGCCGCCAATTTTTGTTTGTAATCTTCGACGACTTCTTTGGCGCGCACCAACGAAGCGAGGGAGTTGTCGATCAGTTCTTCCCAGCTCTTGCAGTACGCCTCTTGATCGTACGCCACTGTGTCGGCGGTTCGACGGAGTTCGGAGGCTTTCGCTAGCGCCGCCTGCATCTCGTCAATGGTTTCCTTCTGGTTGTCCAACATATTTTCTTCGGCTAAAAGAATAAGATCAAAAAAAGGTAAACAAAAGGTAAAAAATACAAAAAAAAAAAAAGGTAAAAAAAGATCAGAAAAGGCAAAAAAAGGTCAAAAAATAGGTAAGAAAAAAGGTGAACAGAAAAGTTGATAATGATACACAAAAATGTAATAAAAAAGATGATAAGAAGTTGAAAAGTAAAAAAAAAAAAATATAAAAAAATGTGAGAACAAAAAGGTGAAATAAAAGGGGGGGAAAAGGTGAAAAGAGGATGAAAAATAGGTGAAAAAATGTGGGAAAAGGTAAAAAAGGTGATTGGGAGTAACTCTAAACGGCTTCAAACTCTGTACTCTTTACAAATCGAATTTTGACTCACCGATTTCCAACTCAGAAATAAACTGATGCAAATTGAGCATTTCGGGCGTCATATCGTTTTCGTTTAAGGATCGCAGCTGCAGCAGGTCGCCGTCATCGTCGTCAGTTTCATTGTCCGATCCGCTGTTCGTCTGCACATCGCCTGCGACCAATTCTTTCACCCTATCGGCGTACCGTAACGTATTTAAGCTGTGCTCGCACGAATTCACTCCCGGCGAGATCATCGCTATCATGCAAGTCCTCGAATTGGCGCCCACGAACGAGTCCCTTAGCACCTAGGACGGAAAAATAATTCAAAAATCGTGAAAAAAAAAAAGGCATAATTAGGAACTTATAATATTGTAGTTCAAATGTACCACACTTAAAATGATTATTAACGAACTTTTTATTATATTTTGGATATCAAAAATTATAAGAATATAGTTCAAATGTACCAGAATCAAAATCACTATTAACGAACTTTTTATAATATTTTGGATGACAAAACTGGCATATTGAGAAATTACAAGATCGTAGTTCAAATGAACCAGATTTAAAATGATTATTAACGAATTTTTTAGATGTCAAAACGGAAAAATCGACAAAACACCATTATACTTTCTAATAGTTCAAATGTACCAGGCTCAAAATAACTATTAATGAACTTTTTATGATAGTTTGAAACCTTTTGGATGCCAAAAGCCAAATTGCTAGATAATAGTTCAAATGTACCAATCTCAAAATGACTATAAAAGAACTATTTAAGATATTTTGAATCCTTTAAGATGCCAAAACGACAAATTAGAAGATCGTAGTTCTAATGTACCAGGTTCAAAATTACTATTATTAGCGAACTTTTTTAAATTCTGATACTTTCTAAATGTCAAAACGGCAAAATCGACAAAATAGAAAATCGTAGTTCCAATGTACCAGAATGAATAACTATTAACGAACTTTTTTGATAGTTTCAAACATTTTGGATGCCAAAACGGACAAATTACAAGATCGTAGTCTAAATGTACCAGGTTCAAAATGACCGAAAGAACTTTTTTATATTTTGAAAAATGGAAAAAATCGACAAAATAGAAAATCGTAGTTCAAAAGTAGATACCAGACTTAAAATTATTAACCTACGTTTATAATAGTTTGAAACATTTTAGATGCCACAAGCAAAAATTACAATATCGTAGTTCAAATGTACCAGATTCAAAATGACTATTAACGAACTTTTTAGGATTTTTTAACCTTTTGGATGACAAAAATGACAAATTACGAGATTGTAGTTTAAATGTACTAGACTCTGATGTGTTGATGTTGATGAATGAATTTTTTGAGATTCTTAAATAGTTTAGATCATACTGCAAAAATCGACGACTTGTAAGGTTCATGATATAATGAAAAATTGTTATTACAAGATAGTTCAAATGTATCAAACTCAAAAATGTTCATTAACAAAGAGTTCATGATATAATGAAAAATGTTTATAACAAGATATTTCAAATGTATCAAACTTAATAATGTTCTTGAATAAAATATTTTAAGTTACAAAACCGCAAACATCGATGAATTATGAGGTAGTAGTTCAAATGTACCAAACTCAAAAATGTTCATAATTGTATCAAGCTCAAAAATATTTATTAACGAAGCATTTTCACTGTAGAACTGCAAAAATTGAATTACAAGATAGTAGTTCAAATGCACCAAACTTAAAAATGTTTATGAATTAAATTTTCGAGACTCTAAACTATTTTAAGTCAGAAAAATGCAAACATTAACTAATTATAAGGTAGTAGTTCAAAAATGTTCATTAATGATGAGTTTAATATACAATGGATCGTTTTCGCCCTAGAACTGCAAAAAATAAATGGCAAAAAAAGTAGTACAAATGTACCAAACCTAAAAATATTAATGAATCATTTTTTTGAGATTTAAAAAAATGGGTCATGAAACTTTAAAAACAGATTGTAAGGTGGTAGTTCTAATGTACCAAGCTCAAAAATTACATTTTAATGCGTAAAAATAAAAAGCACATATTTTGAATGTCATAACAGATGGCACAACAAAAACTGTAACATGTATTTGTTTAATTGACATTTCAAAACAACTTAAGTCAAAAAAATCACTTTTCAGTAGACACAAAAAACTTTTCATAATATAAATCAAATGTTTCCAAGAGTTGACTTTTTTTGAAATGACCGATTCAATTAATTGAGATTTTAAAGTATTCTGGGTCATACAATTGCAAAAATCGACGAAAAATAAGTTAGTAGTTCAAATGCACCAAAATAAAAAATATTCATTAAAGAAGAGTTCATGACATAATGAAGCATTTCGCATTAGTATCACACAAATTGAATTGCAAGACAGTCACTCACCTGTGTAAGTTTGCTAACCCTAAAAGGTAGATGGGCACCCTTGCGACCTAACGCCCTGATACATTCTTTCAAAGCCAATAGCGATTTGTTGATTTCGGCACCTTCCATTCTGGTTTGTCTGTTGGCCGATGACGTGTCGGCTCCCCTTTCGTTACCGGCAAGATCTATTAATGAAAATTTGCCATGGATCTTCGACATGTTGTTGTTGGATCTCAAGTAAATCTAAAAAAAGCGGTAATTTCAAACATTCTAGAACCATACAAATAAAAAAAATCTTTAATCACAGAGGCATAATAATAACCTGTAAATTTGTTACAGTAAAATAACTCCAGATACTCTTTTGACTCTCAATGATCATTTCAGACACTCTCGATACTCTATTGTCATGTAAGATCCTTTTTTAATACTTTAGGAGTGAATTGCATACTTTGTTGATAATCCAGTCATTACAATAACCTTAAGTTTGTTTTTGTTACAGTAAAGTCATTTCGAATACTCATTTGAGTCTTAGTGATCATTTCAGACACTCTCGATAGTCTACTGATTCTCTTTCAATATTTTAGGACCTATTTACACACTGTCTTGTTCACATGATCATAACAGTAAGCTTTAAGTGTATTTTTGTTACAATAGACTCTCTTTTGAATTTCAATGATCATTTCAGACACTCATTACTCTACTGCTACGTAAGACTCTCTTTTAATACTTAAGGGTCGATTTGCATACTTTCTTGATAAATCACAGTCTTCCCAAACTATCGCTGGATACTCTAGTTCTAGTCACCTAATATCTTGTTTGTCCATTTAATTTCTAACTCTCTTTGAATACTGTAAATTAATCTCAGACACTCTCTCAATCCTTTATGGTCATTTCAGACACTCTCTTGAAAATTGAATTAGATACCCTGGGGACACTCAAAATAATATCGCTAAATGCTCAGATACTGTTTAAAACCTTTTTAGAGGTTTTATTATGACCATTTTAACACTCGTTACTCTACTGCTACGTAAGACTCTCTTTTAATACTCCAGGGTCGATTTGCATACTTTCTTGATAAACCATATCCTTCCCAAACTATCTCTTGATACTCTAGTCCAAGTCACCTGATATCTTGTTTGTCCATTTAATTTCTAACTCTATTTGAATACCGTAAATTAATCTCAGACACTCTCTTAATCCTTTATGATCATTTCAGACACTCTCTTGTTTTAGACACACTGGGGACATTTATTTTGAATGTTTGAATGCTCAGATATGCCATGTATGGACTGTTTAGAACCTTTTTAGACGTTTTATTTATGCTAGGATCTCTACAAATACTTTGAATATCCTATGACCATTTTAGACTGTCTTAACACCACCGAGGTACTTTCTCACCCAGACTCTTATATGATCATAGACTATTGAAACCTATGGTCGTTCCGACACACTTTCTGAATCTTTCAGACTCTGTCTCTCTTCAGATCCATTGCCCATTGTACCTCCAGACAGCAGCATAAACTCATATCAAATACTTTCCTGAAGTTTTTATTTAGCGACTTCTCAAACTCTCCTGACACCTAACAACCCTGAAATATTTAAGAGACTCTCTTGACGCCGTAAAACCCTTAAGTCATTCTCTTGGTCCCCTATGACTACTTCAGACACTCTTTTCAGGTACTAGAGACTTTCTTGACGCCGTAAAAACCTTAAGTCATTCTCTTGGCAACCTATGATTACTTCAGACATTCTTTTCAGGTACTAGAAGTGCCTATCCGAAGACGATGTAAGAGAGAGTTAAATGGAAACCCCAAAACTGACATTGGCATTTAGTTATTAAAGTAGTTTTACGTCTAACTAACCGACCATACCATAGCTGTCAAATAAAAAGCTCGAATGACGTTTTTACCTGAAATACCGCGTGCGATCGCGACGAATTGCTGTTGGCGAAGGTCTGACCGGATGTACGTGCTGCATTTCCCTTCTGGATGAATCCTAACACTTCTTGGACGTTGTTGACCACTTTCTCTTCAAGACCGACCACTTGGACCTGTTGTTTACCGTCTTCTAATATCCTCAGCTTCGCTTTGTTGTTCAATAGATCGAAAACTTTGCCTAAGAGGATTTTAAAATTTCTTACAATATAAATTAGCTGCCATTGCCAAGGCAAAGTAATAAATAATAAAATTTTCTCATTTAAAAAAAATAATTTTGTAATTTTTTATAAAATAAAATAGAGGATTTGAAAATTAAGAACGTGATTTTGTTCCATTTAGTTTAACTTTTAATGAACAGTATGAATCATGGATTTATAATGGAGTAAGTTCACATAGATTGTAATCGTTAATTGTGAGAATGATGAATTGTATTTGCATGGTTTTAATTTAAGTAGAATGGGTTTATTAAACTTTTGTTTACGTATATGAGTAAGAGTTTGAAAATATTTCAATATTCACAGTGTCTGACGTGAGAAATTTAACATTCAATAGAAAGAAAATTATTTTGATGTTGCAATAGTGATAATAATAATAATAATCAAGTTAGTTCAATAAAGAAATAAAACAGTTCTGATGACTATTTAAAATTTAAATCTAAAAGATTAAAATCAGGTGATCTCGGTGGCCATTGTACAATAAAAAAAAATAATTACTAATTACAAATCTAGATCTGCTTGATGAATCTTTCGAACCTCACCTGAGTATATTTCGAAGAAACTCGACGATACGACCATATTGAGATTCCGATACTTGGGCGAATTGACCAATCGGAATACGTCGGCGGCGACCATGGCGTAGATTCCCCTTTCACAGTTTTGAATTTTGCCGGAAGTGAAATCACCTCCCATGGTGTGGGTCTTACCGGATCCGGTTTGGCCGTAGGCGAAACACGTGGCGAAACCTCCCTCGAAGATGGTTTTGATTAGGGGTTGCGCCGTATATCTGCGTGAATATTAGAGAAATTCTATTGTAATTACGGCGCATATTTAATAATTGAAATGGACTATTTTTAGCTATAACACTATTTTCGTGCAAGCAACACAAAGTTTTATTACTAGGAGATTTTAATATTTCACAATACTCTATTCATTAGAATATTAAGGCCAAATTGCGGTATTAAATAACTGGCAATATTTAATATACAACAACACAACCTTACATTAAATCAAAACAATAACATTCTTAATTTAGGGTTTGTAAACTTTTGAAGATTAAATCTTGCTTATTCTTTGGCCGAATCAAACAAGTGAATCTGTAATTGTAACCTACCAATTGAACTTTGCAATTTTCAATGAGGGAAACTGCCTAAAACTAAACTTGCCTTTCACGTCGCTCACGCGGTAGTTCCGGAAATGATTGAAGGGGCGCTAACTGATTTTCTATAATGACCAAACTAAGTTCGTATTTCCCCACAAATCCAGTAAATGAGGAAAGAAATGAAAAACAAACATCAAACTTATTTTCCTTTATAAATGCCATGGCTAACAAATTTTAAATTATTACGAAAGAAACTAATCTATAAACATATCCAATATGTTTCTCATTAAATAAATTCAAAATTAATGTTTAAGAAATAACATTAAAAAAAACAACAAATTTTTAATACTTAACCTATCAAAGTTATTCAAGAACTTCACCAAAAATATTTATCCTATAGCTTATAAACTAAATATCTAGAGAAAGAATTAAAATCATATATGTCATATGCATAAACCCAAAAAGAATAATAAATCCATCAAAAGATGGCACGATAAGCCATTAGCATTGGTACCAAGGCGAAGGACAATGTGCGCAAAATATTAAGTAGAATATTGCATAACCCGTAAAATATTAATTTTTACCTTTTTACAATGTTTCAGTATAACCATAAAAGAAATAAAGAATAGTTAAATATACCTTAAGAACATTCAGTATAAAAAATAGATAACATGTTGACGAGTATCTAAAATATACAGTGCAACCTTTTTAATCCGAACACCTAATTGTCAGACCTTGTTCGGATTATCGAATTGTTCGGATTAACGAATATACAATAAAGCACCTCTTACACATTTTTAGACCTTTAGATCTATGTATGTACACATATTGATTTTTGTACATTTAAATGCATTATCAAACTACATATGTATGTATGCAAATGTAACTTACGTACTAGAAAAATATGTATGTAATGTTATTTTAACAATTTAAAGAATAAAAATTAAACTAAAAATAAAGCGTCAATTTTTTTCTGAAACGGGTGAAAAAATTTGTAATTTTTGTTTCTTATTTTTAAACGCTGCATTTTGGGCTTGAACTCTTAATTCCTACAAGAAGACGACTCGATGTTCGGGAACCTTATTTTGTGTTTCCCAAGCAATACAAGTATTAAAAGCTGACACTGCATCATCATCTTTCACTAAACACGGAATTTCGGAAATATCGTCGGAATTGTCATCAGAATCGGAATCTACATCAATATTTTGAATTATATAAGCTTCAGTTAATTCGTTGCTGATTGCTTTATCATTCACTACCCAATTTTCGATCTCTTAAGCTCTGGTCAATTTTCTTACTCGACTCCCTAACCTCTTCCAGTTCATTTTCAATCTCTGTCTAATTTGTCTGACTGTCCTGGGTCCCCTGTTGTTTAATCTATATCTAAATGACATCTTTAAAATAAATAGCAAGGGTCGCATAGTGAGTTTTGCCGATGATACGGCTGTAATATATCAAGACAAAAATTGGCAAGATCTAAAAAGTCTAGTAGAAATAGATTTCGCAAACATAATCAAATGGTTTGATCAAAAAGAACTTACAATCAATACAGACAAAACTCACTTCATGGCATTTGCTTCATATTCCAGTTATTTGCCCCAATATACTACTTTGTCAATAGATTTGGATGGAGAAAGGGTGGACATTAGATCTGTTTCGAAGATAAAATACTTAGGATTAATACTAGATTCACACCTAAAATGGGATATACACATCGAATATTTACTAAAAAAAACTAAGAACAGTCAATTATAAATTAAAATATTTAACTAGGTATTACGATACAGAGCAACTGAAAATAATATATTACTCACTATTTCAAAGCCATTTATCTTATGGAATTGTTGCCTGGGGAGGTACATATAAGGTACACATACACAAATTAGAGGTTATTCAAAAGTATATACTCAAAATAATATTCAAAAAACCAAGATTATATACTAGTAGTACACTTTATAGTGAAACCAAAATTCAAGATATTCGACAATTATATTTTGTAAATCTCATTATACATCAACACAAAAATCGAAAGGAATTAACCAAAATTCATCACCAATACTCTACCAGGTATAGGTCAAATGATGTTTTCTCCGTCATCAGGGCAAAAAAAGATTTATTACAAAGATCATATCTATATTTAGGGCCAAAATGTTATAATCTAGTCCCCTCAGAAATAAAAAATCTTAATCACTTTAACTTATTCAAAAAATTTGTCAAAAAGTGGTGTAATACATTAAGTTGCTCAGATATCCACGTCTTAATTGAGGGTAAATAAATAAATTAAAAAAAAATAATTGAAAATAAAAAAAAAACAAAAAAAAAATCTAAAAAAATCATTTTTTTTGTTCCTCTTATAATCATGTATTACGTGTACCAAAAAGTTATAATAATTAATTATTATAGTTATTATTATTACTATTGTTGTATTGTTATTGGTATTATTATTATTATTATTATTATTATTATTATTATTATTATTATTATTATTATTATTATTATTTTTAATTATTATTATTAATATTATTATTGTTATTGTTGTTATTATTATTAGATGGTTATTAGTATTAATCTATAGTGCAATATGTTAATTAGATGAAAGTATTATAAAAACACTTGTCAGAGACACTAATTATTTATAGTTAATCCCACGCACAGACTTGCTCTTCTGTGGGACTATCATATTTATTTTTCCTAATATGGCTTATATTTTACATTGTTAACCTTACATAATATGTAATTATTTGGTAAATAAATATTATTATTATTATTATTATAACCGAGCTAGCGGGATGTCCTCTTCTTCATCACTGTCACCAACATTTTCTTCTGGTATCTCAGTTGGCAGCAGTATTTTACTCCAAGTTTTTGTTATCAAGCCAGTGCCCACATTTTGCCAAGCCTCGTTCAAAGAGAAAACAACGTCCTTCAAAGTTACATCCTTCAGTGCTTGCGAAATAACACAATCAGACGCAACAATTTTTTGAAGTAATTTCTTACGATAAAATAATTTTATGGCCTGTATACCATGCTGATCCATTGGTTGGATCAATGGCGTACAATTTGGGGGAAGGAAAATCACAGAAATCTTGTTATTGTCGCTAAAAAATTGAGTAGGGTGTCCAGGTGCATTATCTAAGATTAAAACTGCCCCCGGACTGAGGTTGAGCTCTTTCATTTTACGCCTTACTGATGGAACAAACTCACTGTGGAACAACTCAGTGAATATTTCTCTCGTTACCCAAGCCCTTCGTTAACCTTTGTACGAAACAGGAATGTGAATATTTCTGGAAGCACGGGGTTTCATGCTTTTACTAAAGACCAACAATTTTAGTTTGTGGGATCCAAAGGCATTGCAACAGGGCATAAAAGTTACTCGTTCTTTGCTCACTTTTCGTCCTGGAGCTGATTTTTCTCCTGAATGAGCTAACGTTTTGTTTGGAAGAACTCTCCAAAAAAGCCCACTTTCATCAGCATTATACACTTGGTGAGAAGTCAGGTTTTTTTTCTTTCATTATACGAGCAAAGCTTTCCAGGTCTTTACTGTCTTTTCCTGTCAGCGTTCGAATTACAGAGGCGGCGTTCGGACTATCTCGCATCACGATTTGCGTTCGGATTTAAGTTGGGTCATTATACCAGACCTGTCACTGAGCTGTGCATTCTGCCGAACCTGATATACTGGTCTATTAAGAAGGCAAATCAAATGATAAGAGAACAGTCCGTTTTACAAAGAATGTTGACAATACATATCCATAGTTTTTAATAAATAATAAATAAATTTTAAAATAACATTAAAGAACTTTTTATCCTTTTTCGTTTAACAAGATAGATCAAATTTAAAATCGAATATTCCAAACCGCCAAATGTGCACGTTACTTTGTTTTATTCACTTATATAAAAACAAGAACGAGAAAACTATACCGTGAGCACCATAAGTCTTACCCCCCCTATCTAACTAGTTACTGGAGTCTTGTTAGGAAAATCGCCGAGACACGTCGATTTTTGATTTCTACAGTGTACATTTTTGTATGAATAGTTTACCCTTAATTTCATCCCTTACTGGAGGGGAGCAACCCTTTCGAAAAATTTAAATGGCATGGGGTGGTGAGTGATAGCTCATTTGAAAGAGGGTTTTATTCTCTATTCAACCATGTAAAAAATTTTGAAATTTGCTTCATTAATTCTCGACTAATTGTTGTTTCAGAATAACGGAAATTAACATAGCGCACTCATCCTTAGAATTAAAATTCGGCCCTGCATGATTTCGGTTTTGGTTCAGACGTGAAGTAAGACTTTTTGCCATTAGAAGGTCACTATTAGTTTAGTTGCTTTCCTATTTTGTGAGGTTTTGTTATTTTTAAACATTAATAAATCAACACGTAATGAAGCAAATTTAAATTTTTTTTGCACGGTTGAATAGAGAATAAAACCCCCTTTCAAATGAGCTATCACTCATTACCCCATGCCATTTAAATTTTTCGAAAGGGTTGTTCCCCTCCAGTAAGAGATGAAATTAAGGGTAAACTAATCATACAAAAATGTACATTGTAGAAAACATAAATCGACCTGTCTCGGCGATTTTCCCAACAAGACTCCAGTAACGAGTTAGTTAGGGGGGGGGGGGGGTAAGACTTATGATGCTCACTGTATACATATTTACACTTTGCTACAAATCCGATGTGTCCAAC